AAGCAGCGAAACTCTTCTGCGGTTCAACAGTAATTACTTGGCGAGGCGAATCAGGTCCAAAAACCTGTAATACAATTATAAAACTTTTCAAATTTAACAGAAAGCAAGAGAAGATACAGAAGGAGTAAGTCAAATGAGAGCAGATTACACTTTAAACTACAGTTTTAGAAAAATGGTCGAAAAAGAAAACGTGCTTTAGCATGAAACTTGGCGCGAAAAGAAGAGGAGTCTATGGATAAGTTAGGTTGGGGAGAATTCGAGATTTCACCAGCATCTTTCGATCCTTTAATTTTTGAATTCGACTTAAGTACTGGATCTATAATAATTCAATCTAATTAAAGAACATGAGAGTATAGAGCCAATAAAAAATAAAAGTTAAGATTCTCAACACTAAACTTTCAGACTTTCGAAGAGGTTTAAGCTAACCTGGAGGCCTTGGCGGTACAGTTTTGAACTTTTTTTCTCCACCTCCCCCAAAAACATTTGCAAACTGTTTTGCATCAAATGCATGAGCTGCAAGTCTATATAACCATCTGGAATCATACGCTGTAAAAGCATATGAAAATAAAGACATTGCTACCTGAAAAAGTTGGTTTAATTCTATGAAACTACGAGGGATTGAAAAGAAAAAAGGAAACACAAAAGTAGTCGTCCTAAAAGCACTCACGGCAAATAACGTCTCTGCAAGAAGCAAGCGAAGCTGAGGGGTTTCTTCATCTTTTTCCCGAGTAAGTAACGCAACAAGATTATCAACACCAGGCCATTTGGAAGGTAAAGTTGTGACTTGAATGTCTTCAGTTAACGATATGTAACGTGACCTTTTAGTTAGCGCCCTATAAACATTTAAAGAGACATCAAATACAGGAGCAACTTCAGGACTGAAAGCCGTTAAAGTCAACAATAAAATATTACCCTGACTGTTGCTGAGGAAGCCCCAGTGAGTAAATGTTACCCACATCACACAGAGATTGATACAGGCACGAAGAAAGACCTTGGCAAAGGTTGTAGAGCTTATAAACCTATAAGTGGTTTCATTTACAGAAGTAATATGAACAAATCGTGTTTCGAAAAATTCACTGAAGATCTAATTATCAAAAATGACAAAACCTTTGTTAATGAGTTATCAACATTAATCCGTGGTGGCTCCGTTATCTCAGCAATCGTCAAAAGCAAATCAGACGAAAGATTTTCAATAAAATGCAGCGGAGATGGAACAAACATTTTGCACGACGAAACAGAAGCCATAAGAAGTGGGAAGGAATGGATAACAGGAAATGGTTCTAAACCTCACTGATAAAAAATATGTGTATGTATTTAAGCAGCTTGCCAACAAAACGCTAAAAAAGAAGCAAATTTTGTGAATTTATAATATGGTAATACCGCTGATATGCTGCACTACTCCCATATCTTGTCTAACTTCCAGGAGGAGTAATAGCAGCTCCATTAATGCTGAGATCAGTCTGTAATTTTGAGCACTGTGGAGAGTGCAATATGATGTAAAAGATCGCAGAAGTTTTTGATTTGACAATAACCACTTTCGCCGCCTTATAGCACTATTTATTTTGGAATCCAAATCCATCCGGTCCATTCTTAGCGCTTCGTGCAAAGGAGTATTAGAACTAGAAAGAATAAATTTACTATAAAAGTAAAAAAAGACTCGCTCAACAGACTTACGTTTCTTCAGAGACATATTCGGGAATTTGTTCCGGTTCTTCCATAGCTGCTGCAACTGTTTCGTCTGGACCACTTTCATACTCACAAACTTCTTTCAGCATTTCAACTTCCTTTTCTAACCATTTGAAGAGCTGTAAGAAGTACTGTTTCAACAAACTGTCAAAAAGAAACATAAGTAGTAATATTGAAAAAAACTTTGGATGGAACC